ACAGCAGTTTTAAATTGACGTTTTTTACAAGTTTTCGGTCCATTAAACCTCGCGACAGACTGTGCAGAAGTATCATCAGCTAATACCAGGAGTATCATCGGGCTAATACGCTGTTGAAACGCGTTTATCTAAGGAGAGTCTTAAGTCCTTCACGATAATCACTACTGAAAATAAAACAGATACAAGGATTTATGGCACAATTTACACTAAGGATAAGAAAAGCAAAAGAAGCAAAATATTGGAAGTCACAGGACATCACGATATCTGATGCAAAGAAGACGAGTAAATACATGATACTGAAAGGCAAAAAGCAAACTGCAAACCCTAAAACAATAGCAATGGCCATCTTTAAGACATTTCGTTCCCTTTGCTAGCGTTGCTCGGCCTCAGTATTGGCCGATTGTTCGCCTGGAATCTTCTGCGACTTGAGCTAAAATAGATGATAATGTATAGTATGGCTATCAACACTAACGGGATAAAAATGAATACGACCAAACTTGCCACCAAGTAATCTTTAAAAGACGAGGTCTCTCCAAAGACTTCGTTTCAGTGCATCCGACATTCCAATCCTCCTGGATATTCCACAAGTTTTATGGCGAAGATATATGGGGAGCTTACAGCCATCGCGACGACCCAAACGCTGAGAATGAAGACCGGGCACAGCTTTGAACTTATGAGTGGGGAACGGAGGGGAAATACCACAGCTCCAAATCGATCCACTGCTATCAGAACCAGACTCTGAATAGACACAAAACCAGAGAAATCTGTTAAGAAGATTGCCAGCCTACATAAGGCCTGGCCAAGACGATCACCGATCAGCCAGGAGTCTATATAGAGCATTGGTATCTCCCGAGGAATAACAAATATCGCATACAGCAGATCAGACATGGCCATGTTTACGATTAAAAAGTTGATGGGTTTTCTCATGTCTTTCGCCTTGTAGACAATTATTCCGATGACGGTGTTCCCAGCCAGCGAAACAAGAAAAATCAGGCAGAAGGCAAATGTTTTTCCAATTTTTTCTGCTTTAGAAATGCCGAAACAGCTCGATGGCTGTGATCCATTTATCGTTGTGTTCAAATTTCCTGGCATATTGGTTTTTCTTTTTCCGCTTTTATGCTTTTGGAAATTAGTTCTTCTGGTATGTTCACTCGTCAGTCTGTTTATGTTCCACCGAAGGCGGTATAATTGCTTGCTTGATGTTACCTGGCTTGATGTCGTGTTTAATGCGAAAGCAATTAAAGATTTGACATTTTCACTGTGTGTTTGAGGATGGGCAGATCCTCCCTTTTTGCAATATTAAGGGTTGAGTTCCTATTTCATGAGCAACTTAGCCCACATGAATGGCGTTAAGGAGAAGGAGAGGCAAAAACCATAGGTTAACATCGGAGGAGAAACGCCTGCAAGGACGCTATTGTATTCGTTATTCCACTCTCAAATTAAATATGTAAAACACAGAAAGCTTTGGAATGTCTGGCTACCAAAATTATGTAATCAGAATAACGTCATCTCACCGGGTTTCCCCACTCCTATTTATTGTTTTTGGCGCCTACTTGACGTGAAAAAATGGCAAAATACAAGTGATATTTAAAGGATGGAAAATACGAAAACAGGAAAGAGACGAAAGTGATAACCGTCCATGAATTTTTCTTTTTGTTTTTTTTTTGCTCTAAGGGTCGACGGTGTGTTTGTATTATAACCAGTGTATCTATATCATGGTGAGAATCGTATGAAGAACAAAGTTGTTCCCGTCTGCACGATAAGAAAACATCCGGGCACTACCCCTTAATTGAAAGCTGCCATTGATTGACAGAAGCTATCTGTTCAGGATTCTCATGCCACTCAGTCAACCAATGAACTAGAATATGGCATGGAATAATATTATCGGTCTTCGAAAAGCTTCAGAGGTAAAGCCTCTAAAATAATATACAGGAGGCTCGTCAAATGTTCTTCAAAGCCCTGTTAATTAAACAAAGACAATGACTTGCACATTACTAGCTACTTTGGAAACAGATGGGACACAAATATATAACAAACTCGGCAGAGTGCAAAACCAGAAAGTTTTAATTATCGGATATGCAAGTTGTTCTCATAAGAAAGGGACTGCTACGGTATAGAAACATTAGCCTGATGTGCCTTCTCAGTCTGATTATCATAAGATTTAGGCTCAGGGGGGTTGTTTGGGTTGTTTTATGACGGATTGTTCTAAGTTTGCTGCACCTATGTAGTTTCTTAGTACTATTGAGTCGAACAAAGAGAACGAAAGCGATAAAAAAGACTGAAGGAGAAAGAGCGTTATTATTATTATTTTTTTAACTGAAAATTTGTGGAAAGTTATGAAAAAGAAGCTTAAATTGAATGGCTTTTCAATTTACGCTCTTGTGCACAAAATAAAACACCCTCAAAATAAATGCTTTCGCTGATCTAATCCTTACGTGTCTCGAAGCTTCATAACTTCATAACTATAACACCAGATATGCTTCCAAGCAAAACCTGTATGACTCAAAAAAATTTAAAGTACTGGCCTTAAAAATTTGTCAAGTGATTACAGTTGAGATCAAACTCATGCCCTTCAGTAATTTTCTCTTTTTTTTTTTAAGGATATAACCGGCTTATTCTTTGTCGCCAAATACGAGCGCCAAAAATATTTTCATCAGTTCCTATATTGTACGCTATAATCCTCAATAATTTGGCGAACTCGAGACCGTTTGCTCCTTTGGCCACTACACACTTTCCCTGATTTAATGTAATTTTGCATTTCTTTTATTCTTTTGATTTTGTATTTTTGTTACTAAAAAAAAAGGAACTTTAGGTAGCTGAAATCAGTGTTAATAAATTTAATTGAACTGAATTGAATTTTGAAAGGGAATCTGGCTTTACTATTCAATACTGTATTGGCGTTTTCACACACTCTATTGCTTCCTATTTTAAGAACATTACAAAAGAGTTCACGAAATAATTTACCAACGCTGCAAGAGAAAATTTCAAAGATGGTTAGAATCCGTTCTGTGGAGTTTATCAACATTGAATCAAACAAAGAGAAGGACAATAACAATGGGATCGACGAAATAATACAAAGTGACAAAGACTTACTCATTGTCCAAAGAAAGGTTTAAAACCGATCTGCAAAGTTTCTTTAAGCCATTATAGTGTTCATTGAATCAAATAGAAAGCAGTTTAAAATTAACGTTTTTTACAAGATGTCGGTCCACTGAACCTTCCGAGAGATTATACAGACGTAACATCGCCTAATACACTGTTCAAAAGACATTTATCTAGGGAGTCAAGTCTTTCACGATAATTGCTACTGAAAATAAAACAGATACAAGGATTTATCGCACAATTTGAGCAAGCCATTAAAAAAGCAAGAGAAAAAAACATATTGGAAGTTACAGGACATCACGATATTCGATGCAAAGAAGAGGAGTAAATGCGTGATAATAAGGGGCAACCAGCAAATTGCAAACCCCAACACAATAACAATGGACATCTTTAACACCTTCCGTTCCCTTTGACGGCGTTGTTCAACTTCAGTGTTGGCCGATTGCTCTCCTGGAATCTTCTGCGACTTCAGCTTTAAAAAGATGATAATGTAAAGTATGGCTATCAATACCAACGGAATAAAAATGAATACGACCGAAAGTGACACGAAGTAATTTTCAAAAGACAAGGCCTCTCAAAAGACTTCGTTCCAATGCATCCGACATTCCAACCCTGCTGCATATTCCAAAAGTTTTATGGCGAAGATATATGGGGAACTTACAACCATCGCGACGACCCAAGCGCTGAGAATGAAGACCGGGCACAGCTTTGAACTTATGAGTGGGGAACGGAGAGGAAATACCACAGCTCCAAATCGATCCACTGCTATCAGAACCAGACTCTGAATAGACACAAAACCAGAGAAATCTGTTAAGAAGATTGCCAGCCTACATAAGGCCTGGCCAAGACGACCACCGATCAGCCAGGAATCTATATATAGCATTGGTATCTCCCGAGGGATAACAAATATCGCATACAGCAGATCAGACATGGCCATGTTTACGATTAAAAAATTGGTGGGTTTTCTCATGGCTTTCGCCTTGTAGACAATTATTCCGATGACGGTGTTCCCAGCCAGCGAAACAAGAAAAATCAGGCAGAAGGCAAAGGTTTTTCCGACTTTTTCTGCTGTAGGTTTGTAGCAACTTGATGGCTGTGATCCATTTATCGTTGTGTTCAAGTTTCCCGACATAGTCGTACAGTTTTTTCTTTTTCTTCTCTTACGCTCTCGCAAATTAGTTCTTCTGGTTTGTTCACTCGTCTGTCTATTTATGTTCCAACGTGGGCGGTATAACTGATGGCTTGATGTCACTTGGCTTGATGTCGTCTTTAGTGCGAGAGCAATTAACGATTTGTCATTTCCACAATCTGTTTGAGGAAGGGCCGATCTCCGCCTTTTTGGCGACAATAGTCAAGATGCAGTCCTTATTTCGTGGGCAGCTTAGACTGCTTGGCATCTGTCAAAAGGAGCAGGAAGGGGTAAAGCGATAAGGGCGAAGCGCGATGGGAGGAGGACGACGGAGGGGAACGACTGAAAGAACGCTATTGTTTTCGGCATTCCACCCTTAAATTAAATATGCGAAACCAGAAAGCTCTGAGATGTCTGGCTACCAAAATGATCTATTCAGAAACATGTAACTTGGCCAGGTTTCCCCACTTCTATTTTTTGTTTTTCTCGCCTGTTTGGCGTGAAAAAATGTCCAATTATATATATATATATATAT